TTCAATGATTTTTATATTATATCTCTCTAATAATATATATATATATATATATATATATATATATATATATATATATATATATATATATGACATGTTATATTTACAAACTTTTCTGTTTACAAACTACTATTTTTTTCTGGGAGAACACTAGTTACACTATCTTTTTCCAGGAGAAGATAGTGTAATTTGTAAAAATTTGTACAAAAAATTTGTAAACGGATCCTTCCCTTATATATATATATATTAAATATTTTTGGATTCGTATAACACACATAATCATAATAGGGGATGATTATATTTACAAACTTTTTTTTACAAACTCTTACAAACTATATTATGTCTGACCGATCATATACTCTTGATTGAAGTCTGATCAGTCTTACTTAATATAATTTATAAAAAAAAAATTGTAAATATAACATTCTCAGCATAATATATGAGGTTTTGTATGCATGCGACAAGTTTGATTTCACGTTCAGATGTTTCTGATACCACATGATGACCTGATTCTAAAATTTGACCTTTTTTGTGTGTGGATAAATTTGACCTATTTTCTAATTTAGGCAATAGAAGAATGAAACAAGATGAGTAACACCCTGAAAGTTAATTAAGCAGCTATTAATTGCTAGCTCTTGATTTATAAGGAAGTTAGACACTTAACTACCAATATTTCTCTTCATCTGCTGCTGCTTGGAAGAGATATATATACATCAATACATGGGATAGATTATGCCAAATGGTGTTTGATGGCATTAAAAAGAAAAACTTTGTATAATGACAATTTACAAACATGAAAATGTTCTCCTAAATTTTTAATAATATATATACGGTTGCATTCACTAGCTAGTTCGAAAATTCAGCATGTTCAGTGAATACTATTTTAATGGCAGGGATGAGCTGGGAGAGCATATTTGGACTTGGGTCGTGCAAGATCCCATTTTCAAAAACTTAATCATTGAAGAATAAAACAAGACCAAGACAAAATAAAAATGTTTTTCTACTGCCAACTTTTTAAAACCTTATAGAATATAGATGGTGCAGGGAACACAACCTCATCGAAAGCTGAACTAATACAGAAAACAATGTAGTTCTGCAAGTACCCATTCTTATCATATATATATATATATATATATATATATATATATATATATATATATATATAAATGAAAAAAAATGAAAATTCAGTCATTGGACCGTCCAGGGTAGTGTTTAAAAACCCGGTCTGGCCATCGACTCGGCCGAGGTCAGAGGTCATGGAGTCACGGGGTCACTATGCTGACCTGATTTTATATATTAAAAAATATAAATATATATATCATATATAAAAATATAAAAAAACAAACCACCAATCATCAAAGATTCAAAATATACTTAACATAATTCACTAATTATAATCACAAGTCAATATTATACAACCTAATTAAAGTATCAAGATACCAAAGTACACAACTCATATTCTAATAGGATCAATACGCTGACCGGGTTCTTCCTCTTTGGAGAAGGTCCCTGACAAAGGAAAATTTAAAGGAAGTAAGTATGAGTTTTTGTTTTCCATCGACGACCGTAAGGATTTCATTTGAATAGACAAAATTCTTACCTTTTCTAGAAGATTCACGTCTGCGAGGTGTGAAGATTGAAGATATATAGGTCGTTGGGAGAGAAGAGAACAATTTGATTTAGGTTTGCAACCATTTTTGTTTTATTTTTTTAATAAAACGAAGTTGTTTCATAGAGTTTTTTTTTTAAAAAAAAAAACATGCAGTGACCCCTTTGACCCATCTGACCCGGGAGTCACTGAAACCCGACCGAGTTTTGGGGGTCGGAGGAGTCGATGTGCATATAGGGTCCAACTTGTGACCCCAACCCTTAGAGGGGAGGGGTCAGGGTTCACCCGGGTCAACCCGGGGGACGGTGTGAGGTTTTAAAATACTGGTCCAGGGCACTAAGTTCTCCCGCGAGAACTTAGTGCACTAAATATTATAATGGTGTTCTCAAGGTGTTCTCCTGCGAGAACACAATTATAGTAAATATTATAACTATGTTCTCCCGGAAAAACACGTGAAGAACACCATTATAATATTTAGTGCACTAAGTTCTCGCGGGAGAACTTAATGCCCTGGACGGTCCAATGACTGAATTTTTATTTTTTTATATATATATATATATATATATATATATATATGCATCTTTGTTACATACAATTAATTAATTAAGCAAAATGAACAATCTAGGCAAATGGTCCAAAACTGTAGTCTTAATTAATCTTTATTATTGCAGAATCTTATATATAGTAATTCATTATTTTATAAATCCAAGTTTTGATTTATGTTTATTGAACGACATTTCTCAAGTGTTAGAATATGATGACATGTGTTAGAGAATAGTATAAATCATTAAAAAGTCCTCACCCATCAGCTTAAGTTTTTGGGTTGAATTGGTTTTTTACATGGTATCAGATCCTCGTGTCTCCCACTTTCTCTTGTGGAATTTTCTTAGCACAGGTAGGTGGGCCTGTGCATTGTCCACCCTTCAAGCTTAGTGGACTCTTGTGTGAGGGAGCGTGTTAGAGAATAGTATAAACCATTAAAAAGCCCTCACCCACCAGCTTAAGCTTTTGAGTTGAATTGGTTCTTTAGAGCATACATATATAAACTTTTCAATTTTATATTCAATTTTATCAGAAATCGTAATATACAAAGAAAAAAAATCTACTACAGTCTAACTTCACTCAATTTACAATAAATCATGATATTGAGAAGTTACAAAATTCAATATTTTGATACTAAATTTCCCGTCGAACCATAACTTTGACTTAATTTTTAATGATATAAAATGAATATGAAAGAAAAAATAAAATTTGCTCGTCATTATTATTATTATTTGATAAATCTCCAATCATTATTTAATTAGTGTTCTAATTTGGCCGGATGGCCCTGCTCAGCCAGCAAAAATAGCTATTAGGGATCACACAACCTCACACCTAGTGAGGCCTTTTCATCCAACAAAATAAAGGTAAAAAACTAATTTGTTGTTTCAGCAATTAACCGCAATACTCATACACATTAAAGTAAAAAAACTACACAAAAAATAATTTGTTGTTTCTTTTTTGTTCTGTTTTTCTTTGTTTGTCTGGACGTTTAGCCCTTTCATCCAATAAAATAAGGGAAAAATGACGATCATGTAACTGGAACTAAACCAATTTTTCTTGCTGAAAGAACAATTTATGTGGGTCCCATTCATGTAATTAAAATAAAAAACAAAAAGGGCTGGTGCGGAAATCAATGGGTGAGCTGGTAACATTTTTTACATCCTGTTACAGAATACTAGTTTTCCCCATAAAATAAAGGTAAAAAACTACACAAAAGTTATGAACAAATATTTTTCAAACACAGGATCTCACTGAAAGTAAAATGAATGACATAAAATTTATATAATACGAGGGAAGTAACAATAGAAATTTTCTTAACCATTTATTTAAGTGGCTGTGATTTCTATAAATTAAGAGAGATACATTATGAGTATTTGATAATAGGGTTTTATAATTCTTATTCAATATGAGAATTGAAATTTTTCTATACACTCTTCGATTTTCATGCTGGCATGGATCCTACATATAATTTTTTCTAACATATGAATCTCACATATTTTTTGTCTCAACAATATAAGATTTTAATTTTCATTCAACATTAGAATTATAAAACCCTTGATAATAATAATAAAAAATCATGTTCCAGTTTGACCGTGGAGTTAACTTTATTTTTAAGTGTCAGCGAAGCAACGTCAATCCATATAGGAGTCTCCGTATAATAATTTGTAGCATCATTAATTTTTCCCTACTGATAATGACCATTTTATGAAATGAAAATGACTAGGGTGACAAAAATTGTGGCTGCTAAAGATCCTACGGTAATAAGAAAGACACTTTTGTAGATCCATAACCTAACAAGATCTATTTGTTTACAATTTAATACAAAGAACCATGCAAAATTTGTCAGAAATATCAGCTTTTTTTTAATAGTCAATAGTTACAATGATAATGAAATGAACGATGATGAAAAAGAACTATGAATTAAATACAGAGAATTAATAAATAAAAAAAGAATCAAGGAGGGGAAAGCTTTTAGCCATGCTTGTTAGAAAATTTAATCAACGATTCAATCATGTCGCTGCAAAATGTAGAAAGCCGAGAACTAGAAGGGCCTTAGCCATTATTACGTTAAATAAGAGAAGGACAATGTTTTTCTCATGCTACATGAGATAATATTATCTCATGTAGAGACATAATTGGGTAGGTCTCACGGTTAAAAGAAAAGAAAAAAGAAAAAAAAAATACTGACTTGGATTGTGATGTATATGTGACGTGAGATAAAAAATTTTATGTAACTTCAAAAAAACATTTCTCGTAATAGAATTGAAGTTCTCTCACTCTCTATCTATCCATTTATCAATATATCTATCTCTGTATACAAATGATACTCTCTTTTTGTGGTTGCTTTTTTTTGGCTCCCTTTTTTGTGCTTACTTTACGAGAGAAGGGAAAGGCAAGAAGGGTGTATTTGAATAAAAGTTTTTTTAGCAACAAAAATTAAACTTTTTATAAAGCAAAAACGCATGGAATAAAGAAAGAAATTATATTTTTAATTTTTTTCTTCCGGGGTTTAAAAAAAGAACATAATCAAATGATAATAATTTAATTAACGTTAAGTAATTAAACAGTGGGATGAGAGCATGTATTCGATTCTTTATATTACTTTCATTTTTAAAAGAATTTAAAACTTTAATTTTAAGATTAATCCGGAATTGAATTATTCGTGAAACAGTGAATGAATTGAAATATTAAAAAAAATGAAAAATAAATAAAGAGAACAGAGGAAAAGACAGAAAGCGCAACGTCAGAGTTAGCCGTAGGGTTCCCCTTGGGTTTGTGGTTTTGGACAACCTGAGAGAGGTACCCTCATCTCATCATCCACATCTCTCTCTCTCTCTTGAGTTTAATGGTTAAACAACTGAGTCTATATTTTTGTTCATATTTGTGTGGCTAACGTTGGATTTTCTTGGTAATATTATCAAACATGGTTTTCTTCGAACCGTGAAAGGAGGGAAATGCGGATTGCGGCTACACCACCACCCTGCTTCAGCTTCACTTCTCTTTATCACACTCTCTCTTGTTTCTTCTTCTCTATCCAAAAACAAAACTTGTCTCTTGGGTCGGTGCCAAACTAGCACCAAACCGTCAACGTTTCTTGTGGGGAGTTGCTTGCTTCATAGAGAGATAGATAGAGAGAGTGCTCTCTCAAAACTTTCATATTTTATTTTATTTGCTGGGATTTCAGACACTATCCTAAGTTGAATATCATTTTTTTCTTCTTCTTTCTTTGTTCTGTTTCTGTTCTTTCTCTCTTTCTCTCTCCAGTCTATGCTGTGTAGACTGTAGTCTAGCTTCTTCCTTTTTTTTCTTTTTCCATTTCTGTTTTCGGAAAGGTTTGTCCTTAGATCCCAGAAACCTTCCAACCTATGAAAAAACCAAGATCTATGGCCCATAACAAAACCTTATTAGGTTTCTTAAACTTTTAAGCAAAAGATGATGAAAGGTTTGATGTTTCACCAACAACAACAGCAACAACAACCAGTAGTGGAGGAGAACATGTCAAATTTGACTTGTGCATCCGGTGAAGCTAGTGTTTCATCAGGCAACAACAGAACCGAAATTGGTACAAGTTACCCTCAACAATATAACTTGGCTCCACCTGAACCAACTCAGACTCAACCAGTAAAGAGAAAGAGAAACCTTCCTGGCAACCCAGGTTTGTTTCTTTTTTGTTTTGGTTTGATGAATATGTCACTGTCTTGTTTCTCTGAATTATAATGAGTCTAATTTTCTTTTTCTTCTTCTTTTTCTTTTTCATTTTATTCAGACCCTGATGCTGAGGTCATATCCATGTCCCCAAAGAGTCTTATGGCAACTAATAGGTTTTTGTGTGAGATCTGTAACAAAGGGTTTCAAAGAGATCAGAATCTTCAACTTCATAGAAGAGGGCATAACTTGCCATGGAAGCTGAAGCAGAGAACAAGTAAAGAGGTGAGGAAGAAGGTGTATGTGTGTCCAGAAACAACTTGTGTGCACCATGACCCATCAAGGGCCCTGGGGGATCTAACTGGGATCAAGAAGCACTTCTGCAGAAAGCACGGTGAGAAGAAGTGGAAATGTGATAAGTGCTCAAAGAGGTATGCGGTTCAATCAGATTGGAAAGCTCACTCCAAGACCTGTGGCACAAGGGAGTACAGATGTGACTGTGGAACCCTCTTCTCAAGGTAACTAACCAACCTGAATCAATGAGATCAGTCCAGTTTTTAGGATTTGAATCAGAGGTTCACTAACATGAATTGAAATTCACATTAATCTTTTATGGGTATTCGAATTAATAATTATATACTTTCACATATTCTTTATCCCTTCTTACAATATTAGAGAAGATGTTACACTGAAGAGACATTCATTACATTGATATAGTATTCTCCCATAATCCCTCATTCCTTCCCTGAAGAGAGAGAGCAGAAATTCCTAGTGTGGTAAATTTTTAATGCACCAGCTAATATATGGACTATGTATCTGTCTTTTAGTACTTTCACAAAGTTATAAAAAAATGTTGGAAAGATAAGAGAGAGAAAGAGAGGGTCAATATTTCTACACTGTGTCTGTCATAGCACTTTAGTAACATATGCTGGTTTTGTATTTTTGTGTTTTTGTTTTATGACATCCAGGAGAGACAGTTTCATAACCCACAGAGCTTTCTGTGATGCATTAGCAGAGGAAAGTGCAAGAGCCATCACAAGCACAACCAACCCTTCATCCTCTCATCACATAAATCTCCAAACCCAAACCCAAACCCAATTCAATCCCCAAGACCTTCACACTTTCTCATTGAAAAAAGAGCAACACCAGCATCAGCATCATCAGCAGCAGCAAAATTTCAATCTTAGGCCAGAAATACCCCCATGGCTTGGCCCACCTACAAGTGCTGATCTCTCCTCAACCTCATCAATCTTCTCACAAAGATTGGACCAAGAATTTTCACAAACCCATCACCGAGAAAACCCTAACCCTAGCCTTGGTCCCACTCTTCCAGCTGCTACTTACCAAACAACTCATTCCCCACACATGTCAGCTACAGCATTGTTGCAGAAAGCCGCTCAGATGGGTGCAACCATGAGCAGCAGAACTGGTTCCTCACCAACCATGCTCAGGCCCCACCAACAGACTCACGTGTCAGCTGATTCTTGTTTGAACTTGTCCTCACGTGACCAACAAGACCAGATGACACCATGTTCTACAACTACTACTGCTACCGCTACAGGTTTTGGCCATTGCTTAACACCTTATGGGAATAAAGCTGTTGCTGTCTCTTCTTCTGCTTCTGGTGTTCATCCTTCCCTTCTTCATGATGTTCTCAACTCTTTCTCTTCTTCTCCTTCTGCCTTTGAAGGAACAACTTTTGATGACACATTTGGTGGCATTCTTAATTCCAAGAATGATGAGAACTTGCATGATCACACCCTTTCAAAAACAACCACCGCCACCTATCTTGCTGATGACGGTGGCAGTGGCGGTGGCGGTGGTGGAAACGAAGGCTTGACCAGAGATTTCTTGGGTCTTAGGCCCCTCTCTCATAGTGATATTCTCAGCATTGCTGGCATTGGAAACTGCATGAATGATCAACAAAACCAATCTCAAAAGCCATGGCAAGGTTAGCTCCATATATACATATATATATGGATTTTCTTTTTCTTTTTCTTTTTCTTTTAGTAATCTATATAATTTTTAATTTTCCCACCTTTTTTTAGTTTAATTTTTGTTTATGATCTTGTCAATCTTCCCAAAGGGAAGGGACCTTTCGGAATAGATCCCAATATTTTCATTCCTTATGTACTTATTTTGCAAAACTCGTGTTCATATATAGATGAATTATAAAAATACTCGGTGGTAAAACGACGTTTTAATGTTATTATATCAATCAAAGAAATTAGTGGCGTTTGTTCTTAATATCTGAATGTCAAATTCAAACGATACTAATCAAATTTAAGTAGAATAATTAGTTACATGGTTATGGTGTTCGTTTTACTTATACTAGCAAAAAGCAAGTTTAAGAAAATAAACAATATTCAATTAAGTTTGAATTTTATAAAATATTTTTCATGAGTAATTGAGAGAGTGGTTAAAAGTATGTGTTTGTGATATGTAAAATAGTAGGGACAGGGAATTATAACAAAACAATATTCAATTTTGATGGCCTAATTTTATATATTTCTATAATTTTTTAAATTAAAAGTGACCATATAGATAGCGAGGTTTTGTGTATTAATATGGATATTAAAATAGATAATGTTTTCGTATAACTACCCATTTTTAAAACTTCTAAGTCTGGGATGTAATTTATAATTATTCTAGATATTATGTTTTGGGAATATTTAGTCTTTTATTATTTCTTTCCGTTGGATCAATATGAGGTATATTTGTTGTGATAGACATAGCATAAGGTAATTAGTTATTACTTCTTGCACTCTCTTTTATTTCCATTTTTTTTTTGGTGAAAGATTTTATTTCAATTTTTTATTCTTTATAGTGCATCCATCAGTATACACATCGATGTTCGAGAAAGTAGATAGATAAGGTATTAGTATTTTATAGATTGTTTAGTAAGTTTAAGAGATTCGATCTATCTAATAATATATTTTTTTTAATTTCCTTTTCTCCTTTATTAAATTTAAAAACTTCATAGCTAAAAACTAAAATGGACGTTGATGATTGAATGCAATTCACCCCAAAAAAGGAGTTTATTATTACAAATTATAAGTGGGTTTATGCTTGTGAGATTTATCAAAGTTGGGACTTTCTATCAGAGAATGCATACTTTTGTTGTGAAGCAAGAACTAATTCTATCAGACCTTCTATGTCATTGGATGTTTTTTTTCGGTTCAACACAATAATACATGAGTCTCCGAAAATATAAAAGGAAAATCCTTGTTTAAAAGGATTACTATATTTATTTTAAAATTGCTCATAATTTTAGGTGAAGTACATGTAATATCGTGTTTTTGTAAAATTCGGAATCACATTTATTTTCTAAATTCTAATGCCTGATATCAAAATCATTTCAGTATTTCAAAAAAAAAAAATCATTTCACCGTTCATCATTAATTCGTTATTAATTTTGGTAATTATGAAAATGGACTGTGCTTGTATAGCTTTGAATCTTCATATTCACAAGGTGGATATTCTTCACCTTCACGAAGATTTATTCCAACTACGATTTCTGCCAAAATTATTATTTCCTTTAGTCATCACTTAAACTGAATTCAAAATGTCGAAACAAATACGTTCTTAAAATAATTAATCTTATGTCTTTGACAATTTGAGTAAGGTCGAATAGCCAAATACAAGATCAGAACCGAAACATGAAGACAAAACAACAAAACTTGGCGGCACATGTTCATAGAGCAACAATAATATATATACATAGAAAAGTTTGATCACGGGGAAGTGCACATGTGCTCCGAGTGTAAAGTTTCTTAAAAGGGTAGGGTACATGAAAAAGCATTGGATTCTTTGTGATGGGGAGGACTCCTAAATATGATACATATGCATCAATAAAATGTTCGCCTTGTTTAAATAAGTTGTGATTTTTGTGAAATTAAAACCCAGAAAAAAAAAAAAAAAAGATGCTCTTTGATACCTGATGTGGGCACAAGTGGATTTTCAATCCCGAGAGACGATCGATCCCTTGCATCCACTGGCCAATTTTTTTTTCTAACAAAAGATAAAAGCTGTTATTATATAATATGTGTGTGTGTGTGTCTACACATATTGAACATTATATAATATATACAGTACTTTCAAAGTGAAATAAAAGTGACAATAAAAATTGACCTTTCGTTTTATTTACAGCTAGTTTATTTTTTATTTTTTTATATGCTAGTAACAAGACAAAATTAGCTAGTACACTTGCACCCAAAAAATTAAAAATTTACTTGATAAATGTTCAAAAGAATAAAATATATACGAGATGTATTATTGGAGGTATCATTAGTATAATAATTGTTTGAGTAGCAACTTTATAATATGGAAAGTGTGAGACAGGTGGTTATCTCTACGACCTTTACCCTATTTATTTATGAGTTTTATTAATTTCATGTTAAAGGAGATAAGTTATCTCATGTCATGAAGATTAACTTGTGGGCTCCACTATCTGAAAAATAAAAAGAAAAGAAAAAAAAAGAAGGCACAGTTATCGAAGGATGTGTAAGAGAAAAATTTATCACATGTAACATAAGAGTAGTTTTTCTCCTTATTTATTTGATATATTAGGTCAATGCAGATATAGGTACGATAAGGAGCTTTGAAAGTGCCGTTGGCGCCCCTAGCTAGTTTCACTGGTTTTTGTAAAGGCAAAACATCTTTGTAGCGAAGGATTCCTCTGAATCCCAATGTTCTAATATAGTGAGCCTTCATCTTACACATGACACTTTCGTCTTACATATGAGAAGGAAAGAATTAAAGAATGAGCGAGTGTACTAAAAACAATTGTCAAGGAATCAAAACATAAAAAAATATTTAAGGAAGAATACAATAACACACATATTATCAGGTGTTCTAATATAATATATTCAATGTTCCACTAAACCACCCTCAAACACTAAACCAATGTTATTAAATCCCAATATATAGGTCATCCATTCATCTAGGGTACTATGTTATTGAGTCACCAGTTTAACAACGAGCTACTAGTTGAACCGCATGATCCGAATAGATGTATATAAATTTGTATTTTATACTCAAATTTTTTTATAATAATTTCTATATTGTCTAGCAAAATCCATAATTAGGTCTATCTAAAATTATCCAAAATTATGTCTCATAATAAATGTGCAAATCAGTTTACAAAACAAGGCCTTGGCATGGAAGAGAATATCATCATCTTCAATCAATCTCCTCAAATGATCAGTTTACTCGATGAACATTTACTTACTTTTCATAACTATAGAAGTCTTGCATCTTGGTAATTTATTTTTTCGGACTTATGCTCTCCCTAATTCAGAAAAAAAAATTATCCATAAAAAAATGAAATTAATATCACATTTCAAATTTCAAATTAGCTCTTCCTCCTTGTCTCCTATGCTTTCACTGTTTCACATTTCAATCCAACTTACTTACAAATTTCACTTTTCATTTCAATTTCATTGTTTAAATGTTTAATCATGTTTTATTTTTTGCGTGATTGATATGTGTATATGTGAATTGAAAATAGTGCAATCCAACTTAGAAATTTTGCATTTGGTCGTTGCTTAAAAAATGACGTTGTTTCACTTTAATTTTTTTTTCAAAATAAAATAAAATGCATGACGATCCGATTAACAAAAATTGACTGGTAATCACTTTTATCAAAAACTAGCTTAGTCAAATTAATTCTCACCGGTTCGATTGCATAGTCTCTTCGTTAGCTAACTCAAATTGGTTAAATTATGGGTTTACCGATTTTCGGATCAACTGAAAAGTCGAGCTGGATTTAATAACATTGCACTAAACAACCAATTTTGTACAAAGTTTTGTTTTGATTTTTTTTTTTTTTGAAAATATTATAGTACAGAGTTTTGAATTGGTATGAATGGGCTATAGCCATGTTCAGTCAATTTTGTTACTTTCTTTGAAGATGTCAGAATGGTTTCTCTCGCCTGAAGTTTTCAAATCTGATCACTTTGATTTTTTCCGGTGCATGTTCAATTGTTCTGTCCTTGTCAGCCACTATCTTATTAAAATCAATAAATGGTTTGTGAATTTACAATCCTCCCTTCCCCTTTCTCTTTCTGTTATTTGGAGCTTATATTCAAGAGTAATGAGTTCCATATTAATTTATAATGGATTAAGTGAAGTGTATGTATAGAGATAGATTCATAAATTCAAAATCTTAAATTTTGTTAAGATTTGGTGTCGAACTCACTTGCTACAATTAAAATAACTTAGTCCATTGACAGTGATCCGCTGGCGCAAGGGTTCACTCCATGGACTCTCCTGACAAAATAGTCATTGTCACACTTCTGATCATATCCCGTGTCGCAGCAATGGAAATGGAGTTTTCCAAATCAACACCTTATGACGTTTTCGGGCCAAAAGAAACGTTAGGATTAATAAAAGCAAAAAGTACATACTCCAGTTTTAACAAATATTATAAAAAAATCATATAAAACAGAACTAGTGATAGAACTTGTTATTACAGGTCATTTGTGTTAAGCATGGTTGCTCCACTCCACCTCTAAAGTGAAGCATAGTAGACATTGCTGTATAATACCAATCATCTTTAAACTTAAGATATCAGTGTTATTCTTCTAGCTTTATATGAAGGGGGTTTCTATAATTTATTTATATTTTGGCCATGGAGATAATTAAATGATATGGTAATTGGATGTTTGTCATTTTTATGCTAGTGCTTAGATTTCTTTGTGAGAAAAGGAAGGGGCAGGGACAAATAAACAACAAAAAGGAAAGGGTGGTGGGCTAGCTAGCTACTAAGCTAGAGCACGAAGAGCAAAAAAAAGCACACTCCCCCATGGCCATATATTCCTCTAAGTTGCTGTTTGTATTGGCTGTTGATGTGCTTTGTTGGGGTGCTTTTTGTCTGGCAGTTTCAATTAGAAGTAGAAGGCAAAAAAAAAAAGAGAGAGTATATAGTGGTACCTCTAAAAGCTGAGAGTTGCCAGAATGAATGAAGGGATTTTGTTTGTTTTTTGCATTTTTTTTTTTAATGATGGGCATATATAGAGCCATAATCCTAGTTGACTTGTCATTGTAGAAGACTAAAAAGATGCTGTCCCTCCCTTTCCTTTGGCCAAAAAAAAAATGCCAATTTTTTTATTCATGTTTGACTAACCTCTTATTGCTTACTTCCTCTTATCACATCGTCTATATGAACAAATTTTCGGTGCATGAGATGTAGGTACATCTTATTCATAAAGAGAAAGTTTTTAGAACTTAAATAGAAGAATAAATTAAAAGTTGGATTCAAATGAGAGAAAACTTTTCACATTACAAAAAAAAAGAGTACCCATTTGGGTACTCTTGATGCACTGAAGATTTGTTCCGTCTATATCATGTAACAAGTTCTAGGTTTTTTCCCCATCAATAAAGTGACAAATCTATGTTCATGAATTGAAACGAGAGCTTAGAGTTTTTATTACAAAAAGCAGGCATATTATGTGATTTATTTCTTTCTTTTTTCTTAAAGAATTATGCATGATAGTGGTGCTTGTAAATTGTAATACTTGAAAAAGAAAAGAAAAATTTGACAGTTACAAATCTTTTACCAAATTCTTGTTAAAAATATGTATATGTTTTTACATAAAATATAGATTAGGGAAGGAATATCCCAAACAAGGTAAGGGAAGGCCCAATTTTGTTAGAAATTTTAGAATAAGTTGATATTGTTATTTCCTCTTGCATAATGAATGGCTTTCACCACTTTAGCATATCTAACAAGAAACAACTATATTTCAATTTTGACAAATTCTGACTTGGTCAAAAAATTCTAGTTGCATAGCAAAAAGAAAAAGCGATTTCCAAATTGCAACTCTACTTGAGATTTCAAATGGGGCTTCTGGTCACAAATCCAATGGCCCATCGTATTCGTATTCACGGCTTCTACCCAAAAAAATTGGTTAGATGGAATAGTGTGACCATAGCTCAATTGGCATGAATTAACTAGTCAATTCACTTCTCTCATAAAAACTCCGATGGAATGTATATTTTACAGTTTTCCAATTTTATTTATTTATTTACTTTTTTTGCAATATAATCCAAACAACCTTAAATATACATTTACAAATAAATTTATCAATAATATTCAAAAAATAGAAATTGCTTCACTGCAAAATCAGGTTTACAAAATCCAATTCACAACACTACTCAGCTGAGAGTTTGTCTCAGAAATCCGTAGCTTCATCTAAAAGTTCAGGAACTCTATAAATTTAATGTACTCTTTATCACAAAGGCTTGAAGAGGTTATTACATCACTATCCGTCAAGACTCTAATTATATGGCCTCTTTCTTCCAATTAAACTCAGGGAATATTCAACTAAGCTACATAAACTTACCAGCAGACAATGTGAGACTGAAAAAAAAAATAAAAAAAAAAAAGATACAGATGATTATTTTGGAGACTGTTGAGAATCATCTTTTTGCTCTTGTTTTGACCCTGTCACTGCAGCAGTTGCTGCTGCTGTCACGGCAGCTGCAGCTGCACCCATTTTTATGCCACCTGCGGCCTTCATTGCACCTGCTATTTTAGCAAATGCTGCTATGCCTCCAACAAGGATAGCTCTCAATGCAACTGTTGGTTTTACTGCCATATCTAAGACGGACTACCTGCAAAAATCAAGTCAAACTAATGCCACCTTCCAAACCAAATAAGTTCATGAATCATGACACCAACATAGTATGATCATGGCATGCCACAACACCGTGGTTTCCATCAATCAAGAACATTTAAACGTAAATAAAATAAAATAAAGCACTTCCTCCTACTCACTGCTTCTGGGAAGGTAGTAGAGATCATGATGCCTTAAAACCATTGTTTAACAGTTTGTTTGGTATTACAAGCGATTGTAAAACAACTTCCAGGAGGAAAATATGGTATGCATAAATCATAAGGAAAAAAAAAAAGGATATGCATGAAGTAATATATCAAGTCCAAAAAGAGAATTATGGAACTTCTCTTTCTATAGCATGCATTCTTGCCAAATATTTTAAACTACTCAGATTAAGCTTTTGTGGAATGACCTGAACATTGGGATACCGGATACCCAAACCAAAAAACAAACTCACATAAGACTTATCCCTTTCAGAAGGTGAAGGTCTTGACACAATACTAGAATTGATATCATTATAAAAACATATTCCATACATTATGATAAATGATTTTGTTGAAATTTTGGTATTTGACAGACCACAATAGCATCAATGGATTCATGTGGCCGGCCCCACCTAGTGGGATAAGGATTGGTTGTGGTTGTATTCCATCCATTCCCATCAAAGTGCTCAACCACAAGACTAGCATATACTTCACATTAGAGAAGCCTCTACAATTTGAAATCCTAGATACCATAAAATATAATTTTCCTTTGCAAATGATCAAAAGCAGGGTTTAAACTGAGACCACCGATGTTAATTTTCTCTGTTCCTGAGAAATGTTTTTTGTTATAGTAGTTGAACCTATGGTGTACAATATGATTCTTTTTCACCTTTTAATTCTTTCAAACACCAAAACCTTGTTGATTCTGTACGTAGGCCTTTATCTCTATTAAAATTTTGAGAATAATGTAATCAACCTGGAACCTATACAGTTGGCAACCACCTAACGAAGATCTAAAGATATCCGCTGACATGAAATGATAGTACGAAAGAAAAGAGCACAAAGGCAACATCAGAGAGAAAATTGTAACTCTCCCCATCACCTAATGTGAATTTGCCTTCCTTGAAGCTAGCCAATGATAAAATGATATTTACTAGAACTTTAGTAAATAACTTTAAACCTCAAATGCACCCAGAATCAAATTATTTGGTTTTGAAGGTAGATCAGAATCAATTTCAAATAACAACTGTGGTTCATTGCGACTATGACTCTTTGGAAGACAGATAGCTAGTATTTCTCCGTTATTACACTTAAGAATTGCATGCCATAAGTCACAACGGCTTCAATACAAGAAATATTTTATTTTTTTCCTTTACTAATTCCAATATTTCACAGCAGTAATCAGTCTAATGAGCTATACCTGTAATCAAAACTTTACAATATTGACTTGTAAAACAATCCCTCCAATGCCATGGGAATAGATACTTTTTTTTTTCACTTGTCCTCTTTCATAGTGAAAATTATGAGGAAAAAAAAAAATCATTTTGACATTAAGTTAGTTGAAGCAAGACATTAATCAAAACTCCTCCTTTTGATCATTGGCAAACAAGCCCATGAAGGAAGCAAGTTCATGGAACTTAAGTTACATATTTAGTTTTGACTTTCCAGTATTAACTTGTGAAACAACAAACTATCATAAGCAACCCTCATTATACAAGCCCAAACCAAAACATAATTTTCCCCCAATTCATATCTTGATTAAACTGTTCAGGAATTATTTTATTCTCTTCTTTGGTTTTCATTCTGAGCCTAAAACAGAGGTCATTCTCTCATAAAAAAGGATCAAATTTTGAAAATTTCGATGGCATGTACAATTTATATAGAAGTTTAAAGTTCTAAAGAAAAAAAAAAGGAGCAAAATGAATAATAATCTAACCTGAAATTGAAAAGGGAGCTCGATCCACCTCAAAGATGAAACCTTCAAAATGATATTTGAAGAGCGAAACAAAAGGGACGCGATGAATCTAATGCTCTACTATGTTTCCCTTTACCTCAAATCTAGAAATAAGGTTGCGCTGTGTGGATGTAGAAAAACGACATGTCGTTTCTTTCCACGAGCTAAGGCTTCTGTTTGGCTTGACAACAATACACATACAAACTCCAATTACATTCCTAGAAACTAAAATGTAGGAACAAAAATTATATTTGATGTATAGGAGAGGTCTTATAACTTATTATTGTCATTTGTTTTTTATTTTGAATCAAAATTAAATCAAAGGCTGTAATCGTTAATTTAATATTTATTCAAAAGTAAAAAAAAAAATTAGTTGTAAAAGGTTCTAAGTATAACCTTCTTCTTTTATATTTATAAAAAAATTTAAAATATACAATTTTGTGTCATTTTAAATGAAATGAAATTATTTTAGTATTTATTAGCTGGCCTTTTACATTTTAACAAAAATGCACAAAGACACGATAATTTCACTTAAAATGGCAAAAAGTCGTGGGCAAAAAAATTTAAATATTATTATTCAAATAAGAACGTACAAAAACGTAACATTTTGAAATCAATTTATCGATCTATAACAACCATTTAGGCAAAAATAGGGTGCGAAAATAAGGCGCATTAGGGTGCTGGGTCGCGCACTATTCAAGCGCGACGCATCCGACATTGACACATGGCACAAAAAATCATAAAACATTGGAAGGCCATAATTTTGATTCCAGTGTCCAAATCAGGTAATTTTTTTTATTCTACATAACTTTTCGAGATTACGCAATAACATCTCATTGAAGGGGATTTGGTTAAAATACTTTACAAATTTTTTTTGAATTTGGGATATGTTTCCGTAAAATTTCGGAAGGCTATAACTTTTAACTCGGGTGTTTGAATAAGATATTTTTTTCATTCCACATAACTTTTCGAAAGCTATGCGTTTGATTTAGAGGGGATTTGCTAAAAAAACTTTCCCAAAAAATGCTTCCTTGTATCCCGTTTGACAATTTTAGCTTTGCAAATGTGAATGATGTTATTTAAGTTGAAATTTGAGTTGAAGTTCTGTCTCCCACAAACATAGTTTGAATTTGCAACAATTGAGCCATAACAACAAGAACGTTTAAACCTAGAAGCCCCTGAACCAACATGATGAACTGCAACACGTGTCATCGATTTCTTGGCCTAGTTTTGCCACTTTAATAGTATTACTTCCTCGTCTCTTCGTCTCTTTCATAAGAACTTCATCACCTGTGTCTATTACCCAGGTTCACCAGCTTCAATTAACCCAAGTTAGCAATTTGGCACTCCTTTTTTGCCATTGTTAGTTTCTGAAACAACGATTTTTTCAGCAACAAGTTTAGTACTCTAGGGCTTTCCATAAAAAAAATATTGTTATTGTTGTCATTTGTTGCCTATATGTGTTGTAACGCCCGACTGCTTCAAGAATCAATGACTATCCCCACATACTAACACGAGACTTTTCAGTGTGCTTTGTCCTCACTCGCACACTTTCCGGGAAAACTTCCCAGAAGGTCACCCATCCCAGAATTGCTCCAAGTCAAGCACGCTTAATTGTGGAGTTCTTCCGATCCGGGCTACAGAAAAGTAGATGCATCTTGTTAGTATAGGTAGTACCAATTAATTCTTATAAGCTCTCCCAAATTGTGCAGTCTCACACCTGCACAATCTTTGGAATCCCTCTTTTTCGGGTGTCGATTCGATTCATTCATGCATGTAACCCCCGCTGGAAGCCTGTCAGGAGCCGTTCCTTGTCCGTGCCTCTTTGCACTGGCTATCACTCCCCGCCCTCGTCAGCGCTCGGGATGTTACATGTGTGGATGGAGAGGAAACCACTATGATGATTAGAAACATTCCCAGCAAATAAATAAATGTTGTCCTGTTTTTGGGAAATAAAATGCTTTTGTGGTGGCATAAATGTTATTGCATAGATCTTAAAAAGTTATGTGGAAAAAAAAAAAAATCACTTGATGCCAACACCCTAGTTAAATAACTATTGACTTTTGACTGCCACGTGTCATCATCCTAATGCGTCTTATTTGGGCGCGACTAGTTGCTATAGATTTGTAAATTGATTCTTGTTTTTTTTGGTGAGGGGCTATGCCCCTAAATAAACACAAAAAAACAAAAAATTACATCAGGGAGTGTCTAGCCCTGTGAACAGAGCTAAAATCAGAAAAATACAACCATCTAATCTCAAGAGGGGGAAACTGAAATACAGTAAAATCTTATTGATCAGAATTCTCCAGCGAAAGATTAGCTAACCAGTCTGCACAAATATTACCTTCCCTGTAAGTATGTAACAATTGAACCGACCAATCTTTTAAAAGCCATTCTCGTATACGAGTCACTAAATGAGACTCATAGGATGCATCACCTGGTTTGGTGAGCAAAGTGATAGCATAAGCTGAATCACTTTCAATAATAATCTTCCTCCATCCACCTCCCCAAGCTCTCTCCAGCCCTTTCAGAATACCCCACAATTCAGCAGTAATTGCATTGCAATAACCCACCCTGTAAGAGAAAGCTTCCAACCACTTACCGTCTGGACCACGAATCAGACCACCACAAGCAGCTCTACCCGGGTTACCTCTGGAAGCCCCATCAGTATTTATTTTGATCCACCCAGGCTCAGGAGGCTCCCATCTAATCATGATTGCTGGAATAGATCTATCACAAATTCTATTATTACCCGATTCACAAGCTAAAAACACCTCCTTAGCATAAGAAATTATAATCTCAATCTTATACCTGCTATCAATTCCTCCTGCAGCGTGGAGAATTTCATTTCTCTAAGACCAAGCTTTCCAACACATAACACCAAATAACAACATCCAGTACAAGTTGAAACAACCGGTTGAGTAGTTCTTTAAATTAGCCATTAGCCAATCCTGCAAGTTAAGATCAAAAAAGGAAGAACCAACCAATTGAGGAGACAACTTTAACTAGACATTTCTGATTAAAGAGCAGTCTCTTAACAAATGTAAAGTGCTTTCAACTTCTTGATTGCAAATTGGGCAAATTGCATCACCCAAATTAATTTTATTTAATCTGCTCTTAGTTGGAAATTTATCATGTCCCACCTTCCATAAAAATAATCTAATTCTCCGAGGTCCCATCCAATTCCATATTGCTTTCCACAACTCAGGAATTTTACTCTGCATATCAGAATTCGAGAATGCAGTATACAAACCTTTAACTGATATTCGGAGAAAACCAGGGACACGCCAAGACAACCTATCAGCACCATCACTGCAATATGGAGGAAGAAAGCTCCTGATTTGGTTGATAACCTCTTGTGGCAGCCACCTTCTAAGCTCCTCCACCTTCCAATTACCTTGCTCATTCACATAATAATTCACTGTTTTATTAACATCCTCCCACTCAATTGGATGAACAGCTTGGTCAAGAAGTCTCCCTGAATTGCTAGCCCATTTGTCTTTCTAAAAAAGAGTTGAATTACCATCACCAATCTCCCACACTAATAGCTCTTCTAGCTTTTTCCAGCTATTACAAACTTGCTTCCAAGTTTTAGAATCTCTTGTTTTCGATATGAACATATTAACCCCATCTCTACCATGAGCATATTTTGCTCGGAGCACTTGAACCCAAAGAGCATTAGGCTGAGAAAAAATCTCCCAAGCTAGCTTAGCCATGAAAACCTCATTCATGATGTGTAGCTTCTTTAAGCCTAACCCACCTTTAATCTTTGGCTTTGTAATTGTTTCCCAATCAACTAGATGCATATGTCTTTTAGGGGGCGTTTGGTTGAGGAAATTTTTTTGGAATAGTAGGGAAATGTAATAGATAGAGAAATGATTGGAAAGATAGATAAAGTGAGATAGGTAGAAAAATGTAAAAAAAGTTGTTTGGTGGGGAAAAACTTTACTGGGAAAATTAGGTAACTTTATGAAATCAACAGTGCATTAAAAGCCAGATAACCGGTTTTTCGAAAAATCCCACCTTCAAATTGGGTTTCTAAACAGTGTGGATATCTATGTTTCTCATAAATCCAGACAAATTGGATAGATGGATTTTTGGTGAAAATACGTTGAAACAAACATGGTATTTCTAAAAGTCATACTTGAGAAACATAGATATCCGCTGAAAAGCTCCCAACCAAACACCACCTTACCCTCTTTGTCATCCCAAATAAACTTTCTTTGAATTTTTTCTATTTCCATACACACAGATTTAGGAATACCACCTGCTTGCATTTGAAAATAAGGAATAGTAGCAAGGACTGACTGAGAAAGAGTAATTATACATGCTTGAGACAAACAATTTGACTTCCAACCATTTAACTTATCATTAGCTCTGTCCACTGTTGCCTTGTATGATTCTTTTTTTACTCAGCCGTGTTGCCTCAAGCCCCCAAGTATCTCCCTACATTTTTAACCTTCTTGAAATTACAAATTTCTGATATATTTCTTGCCGCATCTTCAGAGGTATTCTTTGAAAAGAAAATATTTGTCTTCTGAACACTAACTTTTTGACCTGAGATTTCCTCAAATAAATCTAAGCACTTTAAAATTACCTGAATTTGATCTACTTTTGCCTCCGCAAAAAGCATTAAATCATCAGCAAACATCAAGTGAGAAATCTGAGGCCCCTCCTTCCCAATTCTGATAGGATTCCACAAACCCCCTTTGACTGCTGTACCCACTATATGAGATAATTTTTCCATTCCCATTACAAAAAGATAAGGTGAGAGTGGATCTCCCTATCTTATGCCTCTGGAAGGCTGAAAATCCTCTGTCAAATTTCCATTCCACAACATATTAATTTTAGGAGAAGAGATAGCTTGCATTACAATGTCCACCATCTTCCGGGGTAAACTCATTTCCTGCATAGTATTCTTCAGAAAATTCCAATTTAATCTATCATAAGCCTTCTCAAGATCAACCTTAATAGCCATGAAGGCTTTCTTCCCTCTCATCCGATGCATTGTATGCATGGTTTCTTGGGCAATTATGATATTATCTTGAATATGCCTATGGGGGACAAAGCTGGCCTGAATAAGGGAAATCATCTTCATGATTATTGGCTTTAACCTCAACACCAGAATTTTTGTTATTATTTTATA